CGTGCCCGCAGCGCCCCCACCTGGCAGCAGCCGGGCCAGCGTGGCCAGCGCGGTGTCGTTGGCGGCGAAGCAGGACGAGAAGAGGCAGGCGCGGGGCTGCCGGTGCAGCCGGGCCAGGGCTCGCTCCAGGGCCCCGTGCAGGGGAGCGGAGCCCGCGATGTTCCGGGTGCCCCCCGAGCCCAGACCGTGAGCGGCCAGGGCGGCCCTGGGGGAGGAAAGGGTTAAAAATGGGATTGGAAGGGTTAAAAATCGGATTTTGGGTGGTGAAAATGGGATTTAAGGGGTTAAAAATGGGGTTTGAAGGGTTAAAAATGGGGTTTTTGGGATGTTCCAGGGGGAGGAAAGGGTTAAAAATGGGATTTGGAGGGTTAAAAATGGGAATTGAAGGGTTAAAAATGGGATTTGAGGGGTTAAAAATGGGGTTTGAAGGGTTAAAAATGGGCTTTTGGGTGGTGAAAATGGGATTTTAGGGGTTAAAAATGGGATTTTTGGGGATTTTGGGGGATTTTTGGGATGTTCCCGGTGCCCCCCGAGCCCAGACCGTGAGCGGCCAGGGCGGCCCTGGGGGAGGAAAGGGTTAAAGATGGGGTTTGAGGGGTTAAAAATCGGATTTTGGGTGGTGAAAATGGGATTTGAAGGGTTAAAAATGGGGGATTTGGGGATGTTCCTTGGGGAGGAAAGGGTTAAAAATGGAATTTGAGGGGTTAAAAATGGGATTTGAAGGGTTAAAAACGGGGTTTGGGAATGTTCCTGGGGGAGGAAAGGGTTAAAAATGGGGTTTTGGGTGGTGAAAATGGGATTTGAAGGGTTAAAAATGGGATTTGGGGATATTACTGGGGGAGGAAAGGGTTAAAAATGGGATTTTGGGTGGTGAAAATGGGATTTGAAGGGTTAAAAATGGGGTTTTTGGGAATGTTCTAGGGGGAGGAAAGGGTTAAAAATGGGATTTGAAGGGTTAAAAATGGGGTTAAAAATGGAATTTTTGGGATGTTCCGGGTGCCCCCCGAGCCCAGACCGTGAGCGGCCAGGGCGGCCCTGGGGTTAAAAATGGGATTGGAAGGGTTAAAAACGGGGTTTGAAGGGTTAAAAATGGGATTTGAGGGGTTAAAAATGGGATTTGGGGATGTTCCTTGGGGAGGAAAGGGTTAAAAA